ATAAATATGTTCCTCAACAAATCGTGTATGCATGCGTACATATATATATATATATATGTATATATATATATATATGTGTGTGTGCCACTCGAACGGAATAGCAGCATGGGCTCCCCATCATGGAAGTTGACAGCAGGACAGGAAGGCTTGTCAAGATGACAGTCCTTTGGAAAAAGCTCCCAGCCATTTCCATGGTTGTCCCCATGTTCATAAGTCCCCATGTCAGTGTGGGTTGTATTTACAACAAGCAATCTTGGTGCATTGTGCCAAGGGATGTTGGGACTTCAACTTTTTGCCAACTAATGGGCTTTCCGTATTAAACCACTAAAAGTTAGTCACCTTTAGCAGGGGAGCAGAAAGCAACCGAGCATCCACTCAGATGATTGTCAGACCGAGGGTGTTCAATTTGTGATTCATGTTTTTGCCCGCACTTTGCCAATCATCAGGTAGCCCCACTATGGGGGCGCTTTGGATTGGTGGATTGAACATGTGAACTCCTGGTCTGTGCGCAGGTAAATTGGAAGCCACCCCTCACCAATCCGAACCACTTCGGGGGAGTCTGACTACCTGGACCCGAAAGAAATTCAAACTTAATGGGTTACTGCCCCAAAACCACGGTTGGTGAGTTCCTTTTCGTCTGGGTATGAAGGTCCACCTGGAGTCTCCATGACCCTGAAAAAATGGGGTCATTACCAAAAATAATCAAGTCATTGACCCATTTTTAAAGGGGCATGGAGACTCCAGACAGGTAATTCTTTGGCAGTGTTAACAACAGAGTAGTTGGGTTTGTCTCCAAATGGACTCACACATGGGAAGCTGCCCCCACTCCGAACAAGCAGAGCAGACTGGAAAAATGGTGCCCCCCCTCCCTACTCCAAATGCCCGCCTTCTTTGTTATAATGTTTTTTGTTTGTTTCAACATGGTTGGGGGATGTGACAAAGAACGAAAGAATGCAAAAAAGAAAGAAAAAACAAAGCAAAGCAAAGCAAAGCAAAGAACTAAAAGAAAGAAATAAAAGAAGTAAAAAAGAGAAACAAAGAAGAGACATAGGGAACGTGACAATTCCTGCACGGCAAATGGTGGTGAAATGTGTTCCCAACCCTTGTGTTCATGGTGGCCTGAACCCCAGGGGGCAGGTTGAACATTCAAGGGTAGGAGAACCCTTGTCCACCCTTCCGGCCTGCGCCCAGAAAGGCAAATTTGGATTCTCCGGCCAAATAAAGTGCAACCACCATTTACAAGTCGCAATGTTCAGGTGTAGAATGTAAGGATCCCAATCCCTAGTTCCTTGCCTCCCGCTGCTGCTGTCAGTTCTTGGGGCCTACGAACTATGATGATCCCTGTTAAGTCTGCCTTGGGGTAGTCGAAAAACGGAACTCCGCAAGCAACAACTGACTCGAGAGGCCGCTGGAGGGCAGTTGCCGGATGGAGCTTCTGAAGTTCGACCACCCGCAGGGCCAGGCGAGAGGAATCGGAGCGAGGGATCGAGGGATGGGGGGAACCCGGGAGGGCATGATTTTGGTGTGTTTTGGTTTGTTTTGGGGTGGTTTTGGTTTGGGTAGGTTTGTTGGGTTTGGTCTGGTTGGTTCCATTTTGGCTTGGTGTTTATGTTGATTGCTTTATTTTGTTCTTGATGTTTCTTCGCATGGATTCCTTTGGCTGGATCTTGTTTGGTTTTGCTTTGGTTGGTTGGGCTTTGGTTTGTCTAATTTTGCTGGGTTGGGTTTTGGCTTGGTTGTGGTTTGTTTGGCTTGCTTGTGGTTTGTTTGGTTTGGGTCTGTTTTGGTTTGGTTTGGTTTTGGTTTGGTTTTGCTTTGGTTTTGGTTTGGTTTTGGTTTGGTTTTGGCTTGGTTTGGTTTTGTCTGTTTGGTCGGGTTTGGTTTGGCTGGTTTTGGTACTGTTGGGTTTGTGTTTTGTGTGTATGTTTTCTTGCTTATTGGTTTCACTGTATTTTAAGTTTGCTCACCACTACCTTATTTTCCTCTTATTTTCGTGCTCACCTTTTCGCAGCATGTTGCGTTTGTTGCCCACAGCCCAAAATGTGCGACGCCGGAGATCTGACGAGCGTAGCGCCGCGTTCATGCAAGTGCCTCTCTTGCTTGGAGTGAGTTCCCTCCCAACCCAGCAATGTTTGGCCAATTCATACAAGAAGTAAGACATGAATTCAAAAGCGAACAAGTCTTGAGTCTTCCATTGTGGGAGGATAGCCTACTCGTTCTTCAGCTGTCTTTCAGCGGCTGAAGAGTGGAGGTGCTGGTTGGATATACGGATATGTGCGGTTTTGAGGGTACCCCTTACACCCTTTCGGATGACAGGGAAACCAAAAACAAAGCCACATGTTTGTTCGGGCCCCTATACAGCCTTGACACACACACACACACCATCACACACCTTCACGACCGTGTGTGTTTCTGTTGATGGTAATTACTTTGATTGAGGTTGCCAACTTGACACAACAGTTTCAGCTCACTGGTGCCCTGGCCATGTGCATCATGGGTCCGATGCCTTTGAAATGGTAACGCAGCTCAAACAACTCAGTTCCCGGGTTCTTGGACTCAAACAGCCCACTTCAAGACCAGTGGCAAACCAATTCGGACTTGTTTTGGCCAACCCACAGAAATGAGTGGGCCTCCCCGTTTTGGGTGGTCTGTTTCAAGGAAAACAAGGAGACCCACCTTTGTTGTTGTTATTGTTGTTGTTTTTGGGGGGTCCCTATTTCAAGACACATCCGAGTTTCACTTTCAGTTGAGCGCAGCGGAGCACCACGCCAGGATGTGTTCTGGCACTCCAGCGCACACATCTTGGGCACTGCACTCGGGTCTTTTCGAAGACGTGGATGGGTCCGGGTAAGTGGTGAATATGCCTGCACCTGAAAGAACTACCCGTAAACAAGGGACATCACCCCATACCTTTGGGGCAGCAACTTATGGTGAAGGGAATCGTGCGGGTTTAGGTGGACGTTTGGGGCTTTCCCCAAGGATGATAGCCTTCCAAAACCTCTCCAATCGTCCACTTCTATGATTGTGTGGCAGAGGGTACTTGGGTGTTCGGCCAAGTTGGTAAGTTGTTGGTAACCTAAGTCATACCGCACTTATATGTGCTTATAGGCCTCCTAAGTGGAGCTAACCTTGTGATTATTGGGTTGGCTCACCCAGGTGGCGCTTTCCACTTGACTTGGCGAATCGAAGATCCAAGTAGCAAGAGCTTTAGTTTCTACGCAACCTTTCCGTTGTGAGAATCCCAGATGGGGACTCAGATGGCATCCATTTGCGTGGCGCTGCAAAAAACCCCTCGTCTCCGAGAACTGGGATTGCCAGAAGAAGTCGTTTCAAGGTACCTGAAGCCTCAAGCTATCCATACATGGAGTTCAACCATGTGGGGGCGACAGCCCACGTGTAGGGAATTGTGAGGGTCAAGGTAGACTAAATACGGAGCAAAATCGGATGTTGTCTTTTTCTTTTTTTCTGTACCCTAGATGGCCAGGGATGTGGGGAAAGATAAGAACTTATTCAGGCCTTATCGGGAGGAAACCTCAGGGGGGGGTGGGGAGGGGCGTGGGTTGGGAGGGGGCCTCTTTTGGCCCTTGGATGACCACAAGGGGGTAGGACTTAGTGTCAATGGTACTTGGGTCAATGGTTTCGGTTGGGTGAAAGTGCATGCCTTACCATCCCGAAGGAGTCCGTTGCCTATTTTGATCGAGACAAACCCAGTTTCACCTAACCTACTGTCCCGAAGACTGAAACGCGGCCGTCCAAAGGATCCCAGGGATCCCCGCAACGGTATGTGTCAAAATCGCGAGACCCTGCAAATAGGGGGCTCTAAACAAATTCAGAAATGGGACGCTCAAAAGCACAGAGCCATGCACTGGTTGCTGGTCAAAGGGGACGGACCTCTGACTGGTGGGGGCGCTAAAAAGTTGGCAAAATCGGAGGTCCAACAACTGCGACTTTTAGGTTTGTCTCCAAATAGGGGAATCCCGAAAATCGTAACAGTGTACATGTGGCTTCTTTAAAACCATCCAAAATGGTGTTCCCAAGAAAGGATACCCTTGTCAATGTTGCTGCAAAGACCCAATTGGAGAAAGGACACTAGGGTGAAAAATTGGATGACTGAACCAACATCGGAGAACAATGCACTGAAATTCTAGCTGAGGGCCTCCCAATGTTGAGACACACACACACACACACGCACATTGCCTGGATTGTCTATGGTTGAGGACATGTGGGACGAGCTCTAAATTTCAACCACAAACACCAATGGACGGGCCTTTTCCCCATGTTGTGGGAGAGCACACCAGTTTGACCTTGGTTCACATAGGTTTCGCATGGTGAAAGCTTGCCGACGTACTGCCCACTTGGCTTTCTCCCTTCAGATCTTTGATGGGGCAGCCCTCACGTGGGGGGTGACTGCGACCTAAGCTGACTGGAAGACAACAAGAACTTACAAGACGTAGCCACTGACCTAAGGGTCCGATTCGACTGTTTTGGGGTCCACAAAATTGTGACGGGTTTGAATTGCCATTGAAGGGTCGGGTTTTTAATTGAAGCACCCTGTCAGAGACTTGGGCAGGATGGTCATGGTATTTGAGGTTTCAGCTAGCAAGGCCGCACGTTTATCGCCTGAAGGTGGGGCGTAATGCGGCTCGCTTTTTTGTCGCCTGCATCCAACGTTTCTGCTCACAGCTCAGAATTCGCGATTCGCCAAAACCACCCCCGAAGGGGGCGGTGGTGAGACTTGCTCGAGGAAAAACAACCACCAACGCTTAGGTTGAACACAAACTGAACTGGTGCACAGGGCGTCTTCCTGCAACCTGCATTGCTTCTGGTGGTGCTCTTGTTTCAGCCAAAGCGGGACACGCAAAAAAGGCTTCTCCCTATCTTGAGACAAGCCAGTTTAGCCAGTTTCTGGATCCGTCACCTTTTTGTCCTTTCTTTTTGTTTTTTGGGGTAACAGGCAAAGTTTAGAGCTTCCAACAGCCCACTCCTTTTGAACGCACCGCATGGCGGAAGCGGGCATTTCAAAGCAAGCCACTCTGCTGCCGGTGACAGGCACGGTTCTTTTGGCGAAGCTTTCCTGTGATCATTTTTGTTTCTTCCTCGAGTGCCTGGAGTCTCGATGCCCCTGCAAAACTGGGGTCAACACACAAGATCAAGGGGTTCTGGACCCATTTTTAGGTTTTAGGGGTCACGGAGACTGCAGGCGCAGACGCCAGGTGGTTTTTTTTTGTCCAGGAACCAGCTGTGGACCTCTTTAGACCCGAAGACCGGGTCTCATTTGGTTGGGTGAACACACAGCTCGCACCCTGGCTGAGGGGGTTACTCCCCGACAGATCAACATGGAAGAGGAACCCCCTTTTGGGAATTCTTCCTTCCATGAATTCTGGAGTTCATCTGCCTGGGCTAAAGTTGCTAAGTCGGAAACCCAACAGAAGGATTGGATTCCCCAACGTAAATACCTTTGCAAACGTTATGGTTCCCTGCGATGGTTTAATTTCGTGGTCCGAGAAGCGGATTTCGTCCATCCAGAGTATGAAGGAAGCAAAGAGCTGTCTCAAACCGTCCGACCCCAAGAGCAATTTCCACAATCTGCGTGGTCCCCTGGTTGACCCACCTTGGTTCCATTCAACACTCCTGCGGGTCATGCATATTTTATAGGTTTCAAGCGATTCCACGGTCCTTCGCTTGGGGATCCCTTATTTCAGGTGAAAGATCTGCAGATGGTTGCCTTTGTAGCCTTATCGTCCAAATTCAATCAGGGTTGATCACGACCATCACCCCAAGCTGTGCCCATTGTTGTATCATCTTGGCCTTTCAAAATTCCAACTCAAAAATGATCCGGTGGATCCCAGTTTCTAACCAGCCATTTTCCTTGTTTGTGTTTAAAGAGTGGCAAGCCCTTGGTTACATACAAAACCGGGTAAATGGATCCACTGGGTGGGGTATGCAACTCATGTGGATGGTAAATGGTCCAGCTTGTTTCATGTCTAGTTCTTTCGGGTCTAGGAAGAAAGCCAAATAAGACACAAAGCACAGCCGGGGCTGCACCCACCAATCCCAGAGGATCCTGAATGGCCCTGATTTGTGTACAGGGTGGTTTAAACATTACCTTTCTCGAGCTGTGAGGTCTTTCCTTTTCGTGTGCTTTTTCAGTATGAGACGAGTGGACCGGATTCATATGAACATATCATGGTTTACAGTTTTCCTAATAATGGGGTCATGGACCCATTTATCAAGGGTCATGGAGACTCCAGGTTTACATAAAAATATGTGCGTGTGTCTTTCTTGGAGGATACCTCCAATTTGGTTTCAAAGGGGACTCGCGAACAAACAACACAACACAAGATGATGCATTGGGAGCCGGAGAATCGTTGTTGAACGAATGCAGCCCAGTGGGTCCCAGGTACCATGATAGTAGGTAAACAGCCATTTGCCTTTTGGCTTTTACGTCGGGCAGTTCCCTTGGTTACAACACGCGGGACATGGAATCACTGGAAAAGGCAGATAGTTGCGCTCTGTACCTCCTGCACCAGCACGGAGAAGCGGGTGTAGCAGGGAATGAGAAATGCCTGAGAAAAACCATACCCTTTGTTACCGTTAAGAGAATCCCCAGGTTCATTCCATTTCTCATTCCCTACCTGTCGCACCAGCAAGACTCGTTTTGCGGAGGGATGTGGTTGGTGCACTTGCAATTAGTGCATACGTAGGAAATTCCCCCCTGCTTCGGAGGATGCACCCACTGGAATAGCACTTCCTAAATGGGGGCGGTCCAAGCAGAGGTGGAGCATGTTTCTTAGATGACCCTACCTGGAGTCTCCATGACCCTTGAAAAAATAGGGTCATTACCCAAAATAATGGGGTCATGGACCCATTTATTAAGGGTTATGGAGACTCCAGGTATACCTTTCTAAAGTTCAACGACTTCCCCACGAGTCCGGTGCTCCAAGAAGCCTTCTTAAGACCCGAGGGGCCTACGCTTAGGGTGGGGGTCCCTATTGCATCCGAAGCCAAAACCCGCTGCCTCACCACCTCACTTCGTGCTTGTTTTTGGTTAAGTCCTCGTCAGTGGAGATGTACCTGGAGTCTCAGGCACCCTTTTACCGTTGGGGTGATTGCTCAAAGAGAAAGGATCATGACCATACGGACTGAACCAAGGATATCAACCACTTGCTAGATGTTGACAGAAACTAGCTATAGCTATATACAGGAAGTACAAGAAATCGGATTTCCCAATACTTGTCCAGAAACAAGCTGACTTCCTGTAGAAGTGGACACCTGGAGTCTTCTTCTGAACAAAAACAACATGGGGCCTACCCAAAAGAAAAGTCAGATCCTCTTCCTCCCCCCCCCTCCCCCCCCTCCCTTTTTGCGGGGGGTGTGTGCCTTGAGCCGGTGGCTTCTCGAGACCTCTTCGCCGCGGCTCGGCGCGCGCGGCTCGCGCAGGCTACGACCCCTTCCGGCTCTACTTCGACGTGCCCGTCTGGGGCGGTTGGCACGAGCTTCGGGATCCCATCTCCCAGCGGAGCTCCTTGCCTCACCAGGGCCACAGAAGAGCCGCTTCTTTTGACATAGTTTGAGAGAGCCATAAATACGTTCCTCAACAAATCGTGTATGCATGTATATATATATATATATATATGCCACTCAAACGGAATAGCAGCATGGGCTCCCCATCATGGAAGTTGACAGCAGGACAGGAAGGCTTGTCAAGATGACAGTCCTTTGGAAAAGCCTCCCAGCCACTCCCATGGTTGTCCACATGTTCATAAGTCCCCATGTCAGTGTGAGTTGTATTTACAACAAGCAATCTTGGCGCATTTCGCCAAGGGATGTTAGGACTCAAAAACTTTTTGCCAGCGAATTTGGGTTTTCCGTATTAAACCACGAAAAGTTAGTCACTTTTAGCAGGGGAGCAGAAAGCAACCGAGAACTGGGGTAGACTTAGGATTTACATTTTACCTATTTTACCAGTCACTCAAAGTGAAGCAAACAATCAAGTATACATTCTAGAACTGGGCCTAACTCTATAACAATGAAATGGGGTCATTACCCAAAATCAAAGGGTCATGGACTCATTTTTTAAAGGGTCATGGAGAATCCAGGTTTATATAAATGGGTGACTTAGTGTTGCTTCTTTATATGGCTGTGGTTGTCAAACCCAATAAGATCCCATTTTGGGGTAGGTGCACGAATGGGATCCCATTTTGGTTGGTAGGTGAATTCACCACACAGTTTAAAACCTATTTTAGTGGTTGGATTGAATCGGATGTTCACTGGGGGTACGGGCTTTGGATTTTGACCCCAGAGAACTCCAATCAAGAATTGCCGAGCCGTGGCTAGTAAACCCCCTACCGGGAGTCTGCATAACCCTTGAAACGCTTTGAACATAGGAGCCACTACTCAGCAAAAAGCGCCCAAATTGGAGACCCAGAGTCTTAGTAGCTGCTGACAGCTTAACTCGTCGTGGGGCCAAGACGGAAAATTGGCAACCTGTTTCAAGCAAGCAGTGTCATAATCCAAAGATCCGTTGCCTTCGGCATAAAGATTTGGGAGGTGACCCAACTTGGCCAAATTTGGGGGGTGAACTCCCCGGATCCATCTACCTAGAGTCTCCTTCTGGCGTCAGAAAAAGGGGTTCATTTTTTTCTGAACGTTAGGTAATGACCATCCATTTTTTCACGGCCCTCGCACAAAGAGACATTAATTTATATAAAGAAGTTGCTCTTCAGAGGTCATACCCGTGAATTTTGGGCCATGACCAGCCACTTTTTAAGGGTCACCCTCTAAAAACTAAGTCACCCGGTTATATGGCCATGGGTCTCCCTCTAAGTTTTGGTGTTTAAAGTTTTGAGAGAAAAAATAAACAACCCCATGAGGAGACTGTGGAAAGGCCTCTTGTTTTTTGGGGTGTGAGGACCAGACCCTGATGGTATTGTACGGAGTTGGGCCAACCTAGAAGCCAGGTCCCGGCCAAAGATGGGTACGGATTTATCTTTTCTAGGTGTTTCTCTTTTTTTGGAGGGGGGGATTTCTTTGTTCTCTTTTTGGGGGGGGGATTTCTCTTTGTCTTTTTTTTGGGGGGGTCTTTTTTCTTTTTTCTTTTGGTGGGGGGGGGGCAAACTGCTTTTGTGGGAGTGGAGGTGACTAAAGAGATGGGAGAATCCAAGTTAGGTACACCAAACCAACTTTGAGATGCCTTCAAGTTTTTGACTGAGACGAGATTTCACTCCAAACGGCTCGTTGGTCGTGCCGGGGTGGTACTCTTGTGGCGATTGGTCTTTGTGACCAAATCCGAAAGCCCTAAAACAGGGACCTTTTGGAATTTAAACTAAATCTTGCCAGGCTTTTCCTTTTTAAATCTACAAAAGGTCATCGACCTGTTACTCAGCAATAGAGCAACCCAGGCGGTTTTTGATGGCTTGAAGACTTACTCAAAGGCTTGGAGCAGCGAGCTGATGTTTTTTGACGGATTCAACAAATAAGGAAGTTTGTAGTTAGAAGACCCAACCTGGTAGAGAAGCCCACCCCCCGATTTCCCTAGCACCTCACTTGGCCTATTTTTTTCCTAGGTCAGGAGGGGTCAGCCCATGGGAACAACAGCATCTTAAACCGGGGTCCCCTGAAGATACACGCATCTTTTCGGGTGGCTTGCTTTAAGGGAACCCCCGAACCCAACAAGGTGGTTTTCCTGTTGTTTTCATTTTTGAAAACCAAGAAGGGTACCTCAAACTCAAGCAAAACACACGCTCATGTGGACCATGGCACGAGGATACTGGAACAATGTCAACTCCATGCTGACCACCTGGAGCTTAGTGGCTTCTTGGCTGCACCTTGAAACTGGCTGCACCTTTGGACGGCCTTCCGTTGATTGGGTTACCCTTCCACCAATTAACATGGAACCTGACAGGGACCCGGTCCCTCTGAAAGGGAAATGGTCCAAACATGAAAGGGACCTGGCTTCCTTTGGAAGGCCTTCCGTTGAGAAAGTGGACATGCAACTCCTGCTTGGGGGTTAATTACCCTTCCGCAGTTCACATGGAACTGACAGGTGGAACCAGGACCCTCCCGAACGTCGAACGGTTCCATGTGAATTGGCGCAGGAAGAAGTTTTGAGCCACAACTGGTTCACCTTGAAGGAACCCGATGTCGTCTCCGGATATAGACTTTGTACATGGTGTTTCACCGTCAGCATACTGTGGATGGACGAAATCCATTTCGCGCCACGTTGAAACCATGGTTGAAGCCATTGTTTGTTGGTATTTACACGGGACTCGCCATAGGGTTTCTTAGGTGCAAAATTTCGTCCATCCACATGGGTGCGCCTCAACACAGGGGGCATTTTTTCACCAAATCAACATGCGGTTTTCCAACTGGTTTCCCTTGAGGGCAACCCCAGAAAATGGTACCGCGTCTCAAGAAAAAGGCAGGCCCGTATTTTTTGCAGACTCTGAAAATGTGTTTTGTTATAACGCACCACACTAGAAACATCACTGTCAGTTGACCCCAACGGTGATGTTTCAACAATTCCAAGCAGGTGAGTATAAGGATCCACCAGTACACAGAATTTGAGCATATGAGTAAATATGTGTTTAGGCTGTGGTTTTGGGAACCAAACCGACTCCAAGGAGCATCGCCCAAAACCGCCATAGCGTAGGTAGTTCTGCGACTTGGCTTTTGGGAGGTTGCACTAAGGTCCAGTTCACCCCACGGAGTCTCCAGACACCCTCTGAGAATGGCGGGGGGTTTCTGCAAGGAAAGGGGGCCACGCCTTTAAAGGGTTCAGGAGACTCTTCAGGAGACTCACTCCCACGCAAAAGTTACTGTGGATTGACGAAATCCATTTCGCACCACTTTGAAAACATGGCTGAAACCATTGTTTCTTGCTAGAAGAGAAAACTATATATATATATATATTATTATATATATATATACATACAGGGGAATCAAATCATTCCAGGGTTTCTCCAGAGGTGCGAAATGGATTTCGTAGCCATCCATCCATATGGTTTTTCCCGCCTGCGAGTGGGAAGGGCAGACCCTCTGAGGCTTTTGGAGGGACAAGCATTGAGCGCTGAATTTCAGGAGCTGCTGCGGCTCAACGGACTTGAGGAGTTCCTCCTGCTGGGTGCCTCCTTCGCAAGTTGGACGACGTGAGAGACGGGAGACGGGCGAGAAATCGGCGAGGAAAACCGAAAACCCCCCCCACTGGAAATACCGGTTAGATGCGTTGGATGGGTGTGGTGCCTGTTTTTGTTGAGGCTCGGTACCCTGTTCAGGGTTTAAAGGGCAGCCAGAAGGAATCCAGACATTTCTGGGGTTCTATTTTGACGCATCTCGATCCTGTGGGGGGGGGGTGGTCTGCAAACATGCTGGACCCCCTTTTGGGTGGTTTAAAGGAGGCACAAGGGAGTGTGCAAAACGGTTTGCGACAAAGTGTGACGCCAGACGACTGCAAATCAGCAAGTGAGACGAAATGTGAAAAAAACAGTTTGCCGTTGAGTTCCGCTGGCTTCGCTCGAGGTCAGTGGAGCCTATTCTCCGTAGTGCCGGAGAGAATGGAGGAGCCGGGATCGAGCTGGGGCTATCACCTGGTACACGAAACCCAAAAGGGCTCCCCCGAAAAGGAGATCCCTAAAGCCAAAAAGGGGGTCCCGCAACTCGTGGCTTCCGTGTCGATTTGGGCAACGCAACATAAGGGCTGATGGGTGTAATTTCTGGCACGTCGTACTTTTAGTAGCAAAAGCAGTGGCAAACAAAGTTCTAGGGGTACCGTCCCCATGTCCATTCTGAACCCAGGGATCCCTTCATCTTTCTAGACGTCTGGAAACCCGGGGAAAAGAGATGGATCCGGTTTTGGGTTTAAGAGCGATGGTTGAAAAGAATCGACAAGGAATCAACCCCTCGAAAAGATTTGGTTTGCCACTACAATGGTTCCAAAAGCTACAAAGTCCCTGTCAGGGAGTGAGTTGATTGAAAAAATGGGCAAGGAATCAACCCCTCGAAAACTGGCCAATTTCCACGAAAGGACCTCGGGGTCCAGAAAAAGATATGTCTCGAGTTCGCCCTTTTTGCTGGGCGTTTGCCTGACGGGTCCGCCTTCGTGATGCCTCAAAGTACCAAACAAAAACACGGGGAATTTACCAACGTTGGGTTGCAGAAACCATTTTTTAAGAGGCTACCGTTGGAGAAGCGTTTCGGGGTCTTGATTTTAGGATCTCCATACATGTTCTATTTCGTGTTATTATTCTTGTTCATCCTACCATGTTGTTTTGCTCATCAACTCCACCCACCTGGTTGTCAATTTGGTGTGACTTCCTTTAGGGTATAAGTTTGTGGTGAAAAAGGGAACATAAGGAACCTTGCTGTTGTTGTTCCGGTTGTGGGGGGAGGTGTCGGAGGATTGTGGAGGATTGAGCCATATAAAGACACCTTGCATTTTGATGGCTTCTGCTGTGAGCACGTTCCTTCAGAACGCCCGCACAGTGGTTCCTGTTTCCCATGTGCGGAAATGAGCGAAATAAACTGACCATTGCAGTGCACTAATCGAACAACTGAGTAGAAATGAGCAACTTGCAAAACTAACACTGGTAGACTCACTAGTAGTTAGCGTTGGGCCGCGGAGGACTCTGGGAGCCAAATGTTCAACAGAAACAAGAGAGCCAACCCAACTGTTCCGTGTTCTTTTAGAGGAGTTTTGTAATTCTCACTGTACCAAGTTCGTCTATGGAGTGAACGCCCACTGATTGTACATATTTTCTCACTTCCGCAGTTTCTGGAGTTCATACTTGCTGCTGGAGTATGATTTTGTGGTACGCGGAAAGTTCGGACTTTGGTTCAATGCACTTAGTGGGTATGGTATGTGTCACCATAGACCCCTCTCATGTCAGTTTCCTTGTTGCCTTAAACCGACCAAACCCTCGACAAGGACGCATCGTGGCCGTGTCTTTTTTTTGGGGGGAAACCCCCCCAAAAAAAAAGCGGAAAAAGAGAAGGCGTTGGCTGCCTTTGGGTTTCCCTTTGAAAACAAAAAAAGAAAAAGAAGAAAAAGCAAAACAAAAAAAACTCGTTTTGTGGCGGCCAGAAACCGGAATTCCAAAATCAAGCTTGGTAAGTGGAATGGACCAAAACCTGCGGAGCCAGCCCCGATCGTTGAATTTTCTGAGCCACACCCAGTTCAAAATGCCCTGGTAACTACCAAGGACGAGGCAAATTTGTGCCCAGGAGTATGAAGATCCAAATCTTCGGTACAACGTCTTCGACAACACCGAGCTATCGGGCCAGCCGAATCTAAGCAGATGAAGATTTGCCTCCGGAGTTCCTATATATATATATATATTTATGGGTGTGGTTTTTTTTGGGGGAACCCGTTCAAGGGTTTTAATGTTCTTAAACCAAAATCCGATCGATCTCTTTTCCTCATCAATTCGGATCCCTGGGTTCAGAATGGAAACTCAGTTGTTCAGTGGCTCCAATTCTTTTACCAACTTGTTTTTTGGTGGCTGCCCCACTAAAATGGTCCAAGCCCAAAAATGGGTTCCAATTATTTTTTTCCAGGGTCACTGAACAACTGAGGGAAATGCAAGGTACCCCTAGAAAAGCAGGAAAGTTTGCCTTTGACCACTCCACGTGAATCAGTTCTCGGGAGTTCAGAGGCAGGCGGCCTGCCTCGGGGGAAAACAGGAGATGGGCGGCTCGTCTTGTTCGGAGTTGGCACCCTGTTTGTTTGCTTCGTTTTTTTTTGTCAAAAAGGAACACCTTTTAAGCCATTTTGAGCAGTCCCCCCGGAGAAAACAAAAAAGAAACAAACGCCGGCTAGGGCGAAACTACATAGAGTCTCCATGGCCCTTTAAAAATTGGGGGTCCTTACCCAAAACTACGGGGTCACCCGCCATTTTCTCCATGGAGACTCCAGGTTTTCCAGGACACAGCCATGTACTTTTGGGCAGCGCAGAAATCCTTACCTCTAAAAAACGGCTTTTTGGGTAACATGGGCTATATGTCGGTTTAACTTCCCCAGGTTGCAAACGGAGTTTTGGTCAGCGCAGACATCTCTTCCGGTCGGCTTTCGTTTGGATCGGGTCGACTGCCTCGGAAACCTCGCTCCGAGGCTCGTGGTCCTGAAGCCTGGGGATGTCTTTGCCGCCACCTGCATGCCCAAGCCAGGCCTCCGCTTGGCCGGCGAATCCGAAGGAGTCACCCCCAGGGCTCCGAAAAAAAGATATCTCCATTGTGCCAACCATTTGAAACATGTGGCTTCTTCCAGAGGGGGAAACCACCAGAAGACAAGTTGCAATGTTCAGGTGTAGAATGTAAGGATTTTTTGTTGAGTATGGAATTGGGGAGGGGGGTGAATTCTGGAATTCCATTGGTAACCCATTTCCCTTGGGGAAGACTAGATAAATGGAATTGGGGCCCCCCACCCCCCTCCCCCTTTTGGTAGTGGGGGTCTGGCGGCGTTCGGTTGATCGGGTAATTAATTCCGTTGGTGTGCATGGGTGGGAACTCCTCACTCCCTGAGTTCAAAGGGACTTTAGATTTTTTGGGAATTTGGACCATTTGAGTGGCAAACACAAAGTTGAGACTTTTTGTTGGCCGGATCACTCGGGAAGTGAGGAACTGGGGAGTTGAACGTCTAGTTCCAGAGGATTACTGGGAAACCACCACCCCCTGACCGCCAAACCACCGGGCTCGAATTAGACGATTCAAGGTGCAAGGGAAGGAGTGGATGCCACCCCCCCCCTCCTGCCTATAATTAGAATGAGGTTGTTTGGCCTACCACTGTGGATGGGCGAAGTCCGTTTCGCAACACTTTGAAACCGTGGGAAACCATAGTTGGTTGGAATTTACAGCAAACTTGTCATTCCAGGGTGTCTTAGGTGATGCAGGACTTCGTCCATCCACAGTTTTGAACCCAACTACGTCATAGGACAACTGTGCGTGCCATACTTTTGGCCAATTTCGTGAATGTTTATAGTTTCCACCTTCCGGCTATCAATTAGTACTCAAAGTCTCCTTATTTTGTTTTGTTAGGGCAATTCGAGTTCCTTTGCATGTTGCAGTTAAGTGGTATCTCATGTTCGTAGAGTAAACTCGGGTAAAACTAATCCACGCAAGATTCATTGTTGTGAGTCCGTTTTCCCTGTGTGGGCAATCAGCATGGGTATGTCTGATAGTTTAGGGGACAACCAGGGTTGGTGTTTCTATTGATTTCCCTCAAACAGCCCTAACGGGTACCATCTAAGAGTACATCGCCAAGCACTTGCCGATGTTCAAAGGGACTCCAGTACTGGATATATTTTGTTGGACGTATTTATAAATGGAAGTGACTGAATGCATCCTTCTGTAGGCATCGTGGAGATCCTTCTGCCGGACGCGGATTCCGTGGCAAAGCTCGGCTATGGCAAGTACCGTTGGCCGCCCGAGGAGGGGGAGCGAGCTATATTCATGCCGCACACGGTAGCCTGCGCTTTATCTGAAGACGGGCTCCCCCCAAAAAAGATCACTCTTAGAGAAACTCATGCGAGCCACAATCAAAACCCGGGTAGATGAAGGATAGTAAGGGCCAATCCCAGCCACAAATAGCTGCGGATATCCGCCCTCTTAATTCTTTACATGGTTCTGGGGATCGACCATCTTGATACCGGGTTTTGATTGTGGCACATGTGGCCCCGAAAGTTGCTTAATCGGGCTGAGAAGGGGATGTTGGGACCACTAACTATTCGCTTCTGGGAGTTGGAACATGTTGTGGAGAAACGGATCCCTGAGCAATGTGATCAGTACGGCTGGATGTTTTTGTTTTTTTTTGGTTTTGTTGTAGGGACGGACGATGCCAGCTTTTGGGCTACAAGGGGTCCGTAGGGTCCGGTATGATGCAAAGGAAGTGATGCAAAGGCACTGAGCAATGCGGAGGATGGGAGCCGGTATCTGCAGTACTTGCCCGCCCGGATGCGCAATGAAGACTTTACCGGCATGGATGCAGTGGTTGAACCCACCTGGCAGCTCAGATTCAATCGGGCGGCCGGCATGATTTGCGAGGTGAACCAACATGTATCAATGGACCCGATTTGGTCGCCTTGGTGGTTCGCAGCCATCCGGTAAGCCTTAGGTTTTGAGTGGTTTTTTGGGGGTTTAGTGGAAGTTGCCCAACGGTGAGTTGGGAACAGCTGATTAGCCCAGGTGATTCGAGAACAGCCCAGAGTGGCTGGAACGAACCCGAAAACCTTCGGGTCGAGTGTAGCCTACACCTGTGGATGGTGAGCATCCCTTTGTTGCATTTTGCTTGGATGTTAGGACTTTAACTTTTTGCCAACTAATGGGTTTTCCACTAAACCACTAAAAGTTAAACTTTTTGCAGGGGAGCAGAAAGCAACCGAGATCCCCTGGTCGACACGACTGCTGGCAGTGTTGGATGAATCTATTGATTGAGCCTAACGAAGGACAAAGAAGCGGGCGCTAGCGGTTAACCTTAGACTTTGAGACCTTTAGCGTTTGGATTTGTGACATATGCCACAAGGTTAGCTTACCACCAGGGTTCCACTTGTTCACTGATATCGACTCATGAAACCTACGGGTGCTCCTTTCAACGGAAGTTTTACACCGGGTTGAAGTCTACCCAGGCCACTGAGTTCAAGTCTAATGTTGACCCCAGCCAGATTAATAAACCCCCGATTTTAGTGGGGATTTATCGCTTTTGGAGGGGAACACCCCCATATTAATAACAGGGGTTTATTAATCCGGGGTCAACATTACCCTAGTCAAACAGTGGAATTCTGTATCAGAGTTCAGCCAGCTTCTAGGCATCCGCGTTGAGAATTCAAGTTGCGGGTTCCGCACGGTCATGCTTTATGATTCACGATAACCCGCAGGTAGGCAGCAATTTCCATGTCACCTCAAGCGCTGTGGACTTGATGGCTTTGGTGGTGGGACCATTAAAAGCGGCGAAGAGTTCAGACTTGGGGCAATGGGAAGTGAGACTGAGATACGGGTAAATGATTTTCGCTGAGTGGGTGAGGTTCATGACCACATTTGAAGGGGTCTTGGAGACCCGAGGTGCTTGTTCAGAGTGTTCCAAACGCAACCCTCGACAAGAAACGTCGTGCTCATGCGCCCAGCGCACACCTTTCTCCTGGCAATCCCTTGAGCATTGCTAAACATGTTCAACAGTCTGCTTTGGGCATAACATATATATATGGCCATGGGTCAAAATCCAAATCGTACCCCAGTGAACATCCGATTCAATCCAACGACTAAAATAGGTTCTAAAATGGGTGGTGAATTCACCTACGCCAAAATGGTGCGCCTACCAACCGCCATATCTATGATATACAACTCATGGTTCCAAGCTTGCAGGATTGGCTCTCAACAAAATGGTACCTTGGTAAATGGAACCCCGTATAAATCAACCCCGGCGTTGTTGCCGGGTTTAGTGGGGAATCAGACCACTTTGGAAGGGGCCAAGACCTTGGCAAATGGAACCCAAGACTCATTTTTTGCCAAGGGAATCTATCACTACTGGATTATTATTTTTTCAGGGGTCGAAGCACTTTGCCAAATGGATTCACCAAATGGAAGCACTGGATTCACCAATTTTTTTCTACTGGATTCACCAAATGGACGCACTTTGCCGGGTCTTCCCCCGAGGACAGTCCTGGCGGCGGTGCGCGGGCAGGGCCTCTGCGTCACGGAGACCCGAGACCCCCGAAGCCAGGTGCTGGGGTGGCTGCGCCTCGACTCTGGCTGCACGGATGGTGTCAGACGTGCGTTCGCACCGGACATGGCAACCAGGGTCTCTTGCTGGTTTTTCCCTTTTTGTTTGTTGTTTTTTGTTTTTTTTTTTGGGGGGGGGAGGGCTTCAGCGGTTCTTCTTGTTAAGAATTTTGTGGATGGTGCGCAATCCATTTCGCAGCACTTGAGAAGCCCAACGGAATTATTCGATTTTCCCCTGAGCATACGAACAAAGGTTTCGTTATGGTTTGAACCATGGTTTCTTACGTGGTGCGAAATGGATTTCGTCCATCCACTGTATCAAAGTCAGCTGGGGGTGTTTCTCTTTATCACTTCGGGGGTGACTTTGAGAATGGCAAAGTAATGGGGCCAAGTCCTGGATTCCGGTTTCCGGCCGCCCTTAGACTTTTAGACTTCCTGTTCATGACATATCCCACCGAACACGCCTCTATGTTTCACCTCGAAGGCAAGGTCTACACAGGCTGTCAAGTTCCAGAGACAAGGAGCTGGAGGCAAGGAGTGTCTCTAGTTTGTACAACACCCTGATCTGCAACCGGATGAAACCAGACATTTCTGGGATTCACCCCCCATCAAAACAAAGGTTAACCCAATTTTGATGATGACAATCCCTAGGTAAACAACATTGTTTTTGCTTGTGGTTTACACCCCAGGGCAGATATTTCTGGGATTCACTTGGACGGACATCGGACTCACAGTTCCAACATTGGACGCTGCCGGCGGGATTCCAAGTCCAAGCAAGCCAACAAGGTGTCCCTGGAAAATGGGGTTACTCACAACTTGCATTTGCTTAAGAATACGTTCATTCTTTCCAGGGGACGTATTCGCAAATGGAGGAAAAGAAGGGGCCACGACCCCATGCTTGAATCTCGGAGACTCCACTTTTTCCATGGCAAGTTGGCAAAATGCACGGCGCTTGTACTTGGGCAAATTGAACTCGCAGACTCAGCTCCCTTGGTGCCCTTCATCCGAAAGAACTGCCTGCTGAAAAATGGAAGTATTGCAACCCAAACAACTTGTTCAGGGGTACTGTGAGGGTCCAACTGCATCTATGATGAAGGATACTTTTTGTTTGGTTGGGGGGGGGGGAACAGTCCGTAGTTCAGGGTGATCGAGTTATATTGGAGCTCCACCTCTTCCTGGAAAACTTTGTTTCTCGAGAGGCACTACTGGTGCCATCTACTTGGACCCTATGCAACCATGGGCTGCCAAAGGAAAACTCAATGTTTGAGCGTCCAGAGTTGAAGTATATTTCTGATCGGTATCAATGCTTCCCCTCACTATGCAACACTAGTGGCAAAGGAGAGGAAATCGTGCTGAATTCTACGATGGCTGGGGGTGACATCTGGAGTCTTACAGCTTCCAGAAAGCTGGCTGCCTCTGTGATACGGGGCACCTCTCTGAATCCTAGGAGGAAAACCTGACACGAGCAACTTTCACTGTTTCCTGTCGTCATCTGTAGTCAAGCTTTCGCAGTTCACACGAACCCCGAAATGGTCGTGACACCTCATCAAGTTCCGTGTCAGTTAGGCTCATGGCCATGGTTTTTATTTCCCTTCGCGTTCACGGTAAAAGGCTGGGTACCTATACGACAATAAGTAACTTGTCGAGGTTCAATTATTTTTCTTACTTAGGGCCCATAGGTGTCCTGTTTGGTTGTTTTGGTAGAAAAATAGGTGGCCCTGGTTTACCTGGTTGTTTAATCATCTACCAGGGCCATCTATTTCCCCTAAAAGGACACCTATGTTAGGGCCGTTTGCTTGGTGGGGCGGCATTGTTGTAGATGGAAACCCCCCACGCACTTGGCACAGCCTAAGGCAAGAGGGGGCACAAGTGAAGCTGCACCTGATCGAGGGCACTCGGGCGTTGTTGGGCTGGCTGGAAGAGGCCCGATGACTGAATGCGTGGGATGCGTGGGTGCATCTCTGGCGTGGGTGGCGTGGGCCAGTCTCTTCACCCATCGTTCTCTTTAGGAACCACCTATTTTCCAAGTGTTTGGCCCATCTTTTGAAGAGACGGATCCCTGAAGAGAATGGGGTGCGTACAAATAGAATCATGGGATGCGTGGGTGCAGGGCTGGCGTGGCGTGGGTGTTCTTTGAGCTTGAGCTTCTTTCACAATTTGCCTGATTCAATCAAGCGCTGTGTGGGCGGGGGGTCGAAGGGTTCAATTCCACCCTTCCCCCCCCCACAAGCGCATTCCCCCAATATCGGCCACATGTTTGCAGCTGGGGAATCGTTCATGTAGGATTATGCTATTCTTAATATCTTGGCAACCCCTGCGTTGTACCCCAAGTCTTGCTTCGAGAATGATTGCCCAGTAATAATGTTTGCTTCCATGAAACGTCTTTGCCCTTGACACAAATGATGGTGGTAGTAATGCATTATATCCTGGTTTGACCAGGTGGGTTATTTGGAGCAGGGCGTCCGGGCGTCCCTTTGTCAAGATGTGTCTCGTTTTAGGGTTCAAGGAGCAAGTAAACATGTTGGCTTTGGATCAATCCGGAGGATGATACTGGTCAGAGGAACCGCCCAAAATAGGTCATGTCCTTTTTGAAAGGGGAACCACCCATGGTTTGCACAGTCCTTCGATTTCAAAGTTGATGCAGGCTGCCTATTTGGGCGCAAGCCTTGGGTCAGGTCATTCCCGCAACGAGGTGGCAGTCTTCCAAGCAAACACCCCAGAGGAAACAAACCATGGCCGGATAAACACAAGTTGTGTATTTTTGTTGAAAGTCCGTCAGGGTTCGAACCCAGAAGTCAAACCGAACACTCAGGGTTGCTTTCAGAAGACTTGAGTCAGAAGCGCTCACCATCTGGATGTGGAAAGGTGTGATTGAAGCCTGAAGCTCCTTAGTGCTTTGGGTTTCGTTTTCTGTGGATGCCAAGTTTGATGTGACTTGAAATTTGCCCCCTGGCAGGCACGTTTGGTCATGTTTCATCCCAATGTGTTGCTCCCCTCGAAGTTCAATAACCTTTCCCTGGAGTCGTGTTTCACCTCGGACTGCAGGAGCAACCGACTCAAGTCCGTTAAAACCATGGTTATGGCTGGGGACGAGCCCCCAAGACCCCATGGTTGTAACCTACTTACGTTGGTTGAACACTGAAGTATACTTCGCCGGCGGTGTTTCACCATGTCACATCAGATCCAGCTCAGGAGGACGCGCACCTGGCGGGGGGCTGGATAAGTATGGTGCGCCTGGATGGGTCCAATACTCTGCGCCGGATCTTGGAGGAGACGGAGAACCAAGAGACTTCCGGCCAGGCGTTTCAAACGAGGCAAAGGCTTGCCTGGAGTCTCCGAGACTGACCCTTAAAAAATGGTTGGTCATTACCCAAAATAATGGTTAGGTCATTGACCCATTTTTAAAGGGTCAGATGGAGACTGCGGGTAGAGGTGGGGGGGGGGGCTTTGGGTGGTCAAGGGAGCGCCGATTTCGGGTGAAGGGGCCGTTTTCGGGGCCGCTGTGGCAGGCCGAAGCTTCAAGATTGGGGTGAAGCCATTTTCAGATCCAGGGTGCTTTGGGTTGCTTGGTGGTTTGGGTTGGTGGTGTGGGGATTTGAACCTTTGGGCTTTGTAGAGGGCGGGAAACCACCCCTCGACCACCAAACCACCAATCCAAAGAAGCAATTAGGAGCAAGCTCTGCCACTTACCTCCTACGACTTGGTTGGGGGCGTTGGTGACCGGTGGGACGGGTTTTCAGAGCAGGCGACCGAACGCAACCGAAATAACCGATGGCTGGCACCGGGTGTGTGTTGAACCCTGTTTTGGATGAGTCTACAAAGGGAAACGCTTGGATGTTTGCTCACAAAAGCTTGCAGTATCCAGCTTACAGGCAAGCCACTCGTTTCTCTAAATTGCCCTGGCTACCAAGAGAGGCAACTGGTAACATTTGTTTAGACTCCGGAACCCCTCGGATGGTTTCTAAGGCTTGGTGGTTTGGTGGTCAAGGGGTGGTTCCCCATTTGCCTCTACAAATCCCAAAGGTTCACATCCCCACACCACCAACCCTAACCACCAAGCAACCCAAGCCACCAAGCAACCCAAGCCACCAAGCAACCCAAGCAACCCAAACCAACCAACCCAAGCCAAGCCAATCCAACACCAATTCCACACCACCCAAGAAATCTCCGATTCCGCCCCGCGACTCAGGATACAGCGGGAGCTCCAGGAGCACTTGAAGGCCTGAAGCCATCCGAGGGAAATCCGAAATTTCCCAAACGGACGGGGTTACAGGAATTGGCCGAAGGCCCAAGGAGCATGTGCGGATTCTAGGCGGGTTTTGTGGGAGGCTCTTGCCTGAAAAGGAACATGGTTTTCCAAGAACCGTGCAGGCTCCAGGATTGATTTTGGGAGGGTGACGTCCAAGACATAGGGGCTTCTCCAGATTTGGATCCATTTGGGTAAAGCGGCTTTTTGGGGTTCCTTTTGTTTCCCTTTGAAGAACCAAGAGCGTTTTGAGAATGCCATGATGGTGACAAAGATGTAGCGCCCCCGGGAATCTCGCTGCCGAATCCAATCCATGGGGTTCAGGTGAAACCACTCCCGGTTGGGACTTTGCTGGCCGCAGGCCCTCAAACCCGGGGGACCCTTTTTCTTGAGCTCCAGGACCTAGCCAGACTCATTTTTTGAGGCTACCCTGTTGGGTTGGCGTAATGGGAAAACCCCAAAGGAACAGAAACACAAAAAGTGTGGCAGTTGAGGCCTTTTATTGTTTTGAGACAGACATACTGTGGGTGGACGAAACTCTGCACCACGAAATGAAACCATGGTTGAAACCCTTGTTTGTTGGTATTTACAGGGGAAACATCACCCCAGGGTTTTGTAGGTGCTGCGAAATGGATTTCGCAACCATCCACGGTATGGGTGGCTCGTCTTTTTGGAGGTAACCCCGGTTCGAAAAACTCGTGTACAGGGGAAGTCAAAAGGAAAACCACCAATTTGGGGGGGAGGGTCCTCAGAAAAAGACAAACTCATATGGGTTCCCTGTTTAGACAAATCTTTTTAGGCCGGGGATATACCCGTTGTGAGCTTTGTTGTTTCTTTGGGACAAAAACCCAGAGGCTGGTGCCCCAACCAGGTTTCCACAAAAAGCCATTTCATTAATCAAACCCTCAGAATTCCAACTTACAAATGTGTTATTGCAACCCAAAACTATTAATTGGTGAATTCTCTTCTTTTGAGTAGGTTTGTTCAGGTCCAGGAACACGTGTTGCCTTTGGGGGCCCCCGACGCAGCCAAAACCGACCGACCGGTTGCGCGTCGCTCGAGCGGAGGAGTTGGAGGCGGAGGGCCTGGATCCCATCGAGGCGTTGAAAGAGATCGACAGCCTGCAGGATGTGCTGCTCTGCGAGTCCAGGAGAGTCGTGGGAGCGAGTGGGTGAAAATTACACCAGGAATTGGACCATGGTTGTTCCTTTTGGTTCCATTGAAAAGAAACACACTTAAAAGGGTATGCTCAAGCAAAGAGAGGCCGTCACATGGGTATGGGTCAAAATTAAACCATCAGGAATTGGACCGCAGCAATTTCGGCCCATGCTTCCATTTACCATGCTTCCATTTTGGGTACCGATTTTTGACCCACAGCCAGTTGTTTCTACCTGGAGTTGACACTGACCCTATGGGACGGGTCATTGCCCAAAACAAAGAAATGGGTCACGGACCCATTTTTTATTTGGGTCACGGAGACTCCAGGTCGATTTAAAGTTTGAAGGTTTGGAGGTTTTGACGTTTGGAGTGAAGGGACCTGTATCTTCGTTTGCGCACTTTTTTTCTGCTCAAATGCTTGTTTGCGCGTTTTGTGGTGTGATTGCGCGCTTTTTTGGAATTTGCGCACTTTTCCAGGATTTGCGCACTTTTTCGGATAAAACTACTCAGGTCGGCACTGCTTGTGGAAACAATCGATGCTGCGCTACTCGTTCCCGTGCCGGCGCAGCTGTTTGTTTAAGTCTCTTCTGGTTACATCTAAACATAGCTCCTTTTTTGTCTCAACCCAGGCTTCAACCTCCATGAATAGCTCCAACCCGCAAGCATGTCCTGGGTGTGCACGGATCCACTGTTTGCTCCAGGACCAAGCCTGCGCCGCACTTTTTGTTGAGACAAGTCGCTGTCATGTGAAATTTAGTCGTTTTTGGGCGCCCTGCCAACCCGCAATTTGCGCGCAAATTTCCGGTACTATCGCGCAAATTTCCGGCATGCATGTGCGCGTTTCAGCCTTTTCAGGCAGAAGATGTCCGAATTGCCAACAAAAAGCTGGATTTTGAGCCAGGTGTGGTCAGTCGAAGCTGCGCCCATCTAGGAAGCGGTGTTCGGATTTCCTGCAATCTCAAAGTTCAGCATGTGTCTCTTGTCCATCAAGCTGGCTTGTCACAATGCAAGGCTAAGCCAGACAACGCCCAACAGGCAGCCAAAACGCACGCAGGTTCCTTGGATCATTCAGGCGAGTTCTGGTCGACAAGGCGCGCATTTATCCTTGTCCTATAGTTCTTTTCGAACAGCTTGACAGGTTGATGTCAAGGCTATATACGCCCAGAACCTTTACCAAAACCAGCGAAAAACGCCTCGCGCAGTTCTTGGAACTTTGCGTGTTTTTACTTGAAATGCGCATGTTTCCATTGTGCGCACTTTTTTTTGCTCAAATGAAGATACGGGGAGTCTTAATGTGTTTGCTGCGCCAGTCCGGGAGTTGCGGTTGGCTGGACCCCTGTGGGTTGGTGGGGGTTGAATTTTGGTTGTCTTGACAGCTTTCTTGATCCGGGGTCGTAAATGCCCCTGCCATAGTCTAAGTTGTTCCAACTCTACCTTTCTGGGCTGTTCAAAGGCAATCCTTATTCCTCACCTTTGGAAACGAAAGTGGGCGCCTTTTTTGTGGTTTTCCAATTGGGATTATGGATTAAAATCACACTGACACAAGCCACTTGGAGCAGGGAACTTACTGAACAGGGATATGTACCACACACATCCATACAAGGCATTCGGGGACACCTTGGTGGTGAAACATGTGTGTGGGAAATGTCTCATTCTCCAACCCAGTGGATTCCAGTTACCGCTATAGGTGACCCAAACCGCCATTGTCCTTCGGTTTTGATATCGGGCAGTTGCCTACCCACAACACGTGGACAATGGAGTCACTGGGCAAGTGGAGAGCTCCTTTCTCAGGACACCTTCCAAGTCCTCGAAAACTTCCGCAAGGCCCAGTCCGAGTCGGATCGAGCGATCGAAGTTCAGACCTCCAGTGGGCCAGGCCGCCTAGGCCTTTCTTTGTCGTTTCGGGTTGCGGTGGGTTGCGGTGGGCAGTGCCTTTTCGTTGGATGGGGTTTTCGTGGCTTTTATCCAACGAACACCGGCAGGGCCCCGAGTCGAAATTTTGGTTGCCAACGGGTCGCAGCTGATTCAGCTCGCTTGGGTCTAGCCATTCGGCTTCGGCCGGAGATGGCTCAAGTTTCTTGGCTTGCGGTTTGATTGGGCGGTTCTCTTCAGGTTTCACCAGGCAACTCACAAAAAGAAGGGCTTTCCAAGTTGGTTTGGGTCCATGGCCTTGTTGGTTTGGCCGAAAAATCGGCTGGGCGATTCCTGGTCTACCTGGTGGTTTCATTCTCTACCAGGGCCATCATTTTACAAAAAGGACACCTATGTTTGGGTCCCATTGGTTAGAGTGCGCATTGTTTTTGAGGGCAACTGGAAGGCCAGACACCCTAATGCCCACGAGCGACGGTCTTTTTCGGGGTGAGTCAGCCTGAGTAAGGCCCCATAAGACCCTCCGAAAACAAATTGGCTTAGTGGTTGGGGAGGGGGGGCTCTTGGTTGGTGGGTTTTGTTGAATATTTCGCGCCGATAGAGGGTTCGTTGCCACCATCCTTCCATTTTGGTTGAACAATGTGTCTTATTTTCCCTTGTTGGTTTTAGGGGAATCTATCACTACTGGACATATTGCTTATATTTTTCCAGGGGGCGAAACAAATGGAAGCATCCTTTTGTACTTCGGAACATACGTCCTCAGACATAGATTATAGATCCAGGATTCGTCAAGCTTGGTGATCAACAGGGGGCATCCCATCTTGGCATCAAACATCCCTTGATGCTTGGGTTGGGCGCGGGGATGTGCTTTGAGATGAAAGAAACACCACCTATTTCCATCCTATGTTTATTGATTTCCGACTCATTAAGAGAAGGAGTCCGTCACTTTTGGAGAACAGACTCTGCCGGGTTGATTGATCCAGGGTCAACGGGGTGCAACGAAATGTATCTTTACATTCAAACAGGCTGGGGGCTTTACTCGTGAGCTTATTTGGCGTTCAAGTCCTAAGATGCAAACCAACTAGATATAAAGAAATGATCTTGCCAACAAGTATGATGGTCCATCAGGAAGTGACTCGGCTTTGGGGACTCGCATTGAGGAGGGTTGCCAATAGTCTAGGGGTTGATTCCCCATTCTTTTCACCCATCGTTCTTTTCAAAAAACTGCCATTTTCCTCGGATTTCCGGAGGTTTTCTAGAAAGAAGGATCCCTGGAAAGAAAGCATGGGGAGGGCAGTTTCCCTCTTCAGTGAAGGCTTAAACAAAGAAAATACGGGGGACCTTAACCCCACTCCTTTCCTCCCTTTATTTGGAGTCTCCTCCACACATATGGTGAATTCCATGATAGAGTCATGGAACGGAGTCAGAAAATATGACTTTCTGTGTCTTTCAGATAGGGTTTCCAGGTTGATACATGATCTCAACATGGCGGACCCCCTTCTGCGCTTTTGGTTAGCAGTTCGAAAAGGAAAGCAACAGATTCTGGGGACAGCAATTGTGTGAAACCTCCATATGGGTGTAAATTTAGTTTAGGGCACCCCCAAAAAGTGTTGTTTCTCTTTTGATTTCACTGTGGTACCCTCCACACAAGACACCACCCGCGAAAGTCCAACTTAAACCATGGGTCTTTGCCCCAAAATTATGGCTACTGAGTTGCTGTGCTTTTCTATTTGGCCACCCCCAAACTCCCTAAAGGTCGCGCACTCAGCTCAGTGCTCAAAGACCTAGATTCGTTCGTTCGTGAGTTCCCTTTTTTGGGATGGGCTTCAGTTCTTGATCTTTAGACTTTAACTTTTGGGAAATTCAAGCTGGGTTTTCCACTAAACCCCCCAAAAAGTAAACCCTCTTCACCCATGGTTCTCTTTAGAAACCACATATTTTTCCAGGTGTTTGGCCCATCTTTTGCAGGGGGGTCGTTACAGCAAGCAAGGCTGCTAGTGCTTTGAGGCTGCGGTCCGTGCACCGGAAAGTTGTAGCAGCGAGGGCCCAGAGTTGGATCTTCGCCAGGATGGGATCCAAGCTGAGCGCTCGTGGCTCGAAGCTCGACAGGACGATCGATCGATGTGTCGATGTGTGGTGCTGGATACCACTCTGGTCCCCTCCTCCTTTCTTGGCGTTTCCCAGACATCGGGATCCGTTTTTCGGTTTGAGGTTTTTTAGTCGGTGTCGTGGTCGGGTTCCAACAAAGAACTGTCGCCTTAGGTTGTTTGGTTTGAGGTTGGGTTTCCATTTAACCCACTGAAAGTTTATTTGTTAGCAGGGGATCTGAGGATCGCCCAGCTTTGATCCCCAAACAACATGGTCGGCCCCAAAATGGTCAACCTGGAGTCTCTAGGACCCTTTAAAAATGGGTCCATGACGCCCAATCTTTATTTTGGGTAATGACCAACAAGGGTCAGTCTCGGAGACTCCAGGAACCAACCAGTTGGACTCCAAATACCCCTCTTTCTTCAGGGTATTATGTCGACCCTCTCCTCAAAAGGGAGGTATTTACCATTGAAAACCAGGGGTTCCCAATATTCCTTGAAACAACTGGTATTTTGAGTAGGGGTTGGATGCCCAGCCAAATGAGTCGACACGGGAGCTATGTGAAGAGCACTTCTCGCACCAATCTCTCTGCGCGAGGAGGAGTCTCAGGAGAGGATCCCGAGGCTCGCGGGGCTCAACCTCCAGGCCGGCGACCGGGTGGATGGACTGTCAGTTTTTTACTCGGACCCTCAAATGTTCCCTGAAACATGTGGGTGTGGCTCAAGATTAAACAGGTTTTGGTCCATATTTCCACTTACCAGGGTTCCATGTTGGTACCGTTTTTTGAGCCACAGCCATGTGTTTCGACCCAACATGATGGTTGGCGAATTCCAGTTTTCAGGTCCAGGTAGGCTATATCCAAAATGATAGCTGGGGTTTGTTGGGGTTGCTGTAGTTATTTCGAACTGTCCAAGTCCCCTTGTACAGTGCCAATGGACATGTCATCTTGTTTTGATGAATCCGGATGGCCCAAAACTCAATCCGCATCCGTACAAATGAGTTCCATGAGGGGAGTCGCGCCTTCATCACAACAACGGTCCTCAAATTCATGGTTTGTGAGGACCTCTGGGGGTTGGTTGGCTGGGTGCTCTGCATAGGGGCTGGGTTGCATTGGGGTCGTGACCCAACTCGCCCAACTGGCAATGTTGTTTGCAGCGCTAGCACATGGGGGATGAAACTTCCTGGACTCACAAAAAGGGAT